CAGCTTCCTAACTTGTCTGGTTCGCGAAATCGCTTTCCCGCCATGAAATTTGCATATTTTTTTTTTGGGACTCCATACGCGAGATTCGGACACGCATGAGAGAAGATTTTGAAACGAGAGGATGGAAGAGGGATAAGAATGTTTCCAAAATTTCAGTCTCCCAGCTTTCCTCATTGCTGGATTGAAAGTCGGTAAAAAAGTACACTCGCTTCCGAACACACACATACATGGACGACCTCTCGACTATATGCGTTTTTGCTCGCTGTAGCAACGCTATGGAGCAAAAACGCATAAAAAGCATGATAGCACTGGTAAGCCTAGTGCATTTCAGTCTAGGTTTTTTTTAACTCTTGTTTAAAATAGCGGTCCTTATTCATTTGACTTCATTAAATTGCGTGAATTAATTTGGCAAATTAAATGAATGCAACGCTAATTAGACAAGACACAGTTTACAGGTAGTTTGTGATGTCTGTCTTAGTTCGATTAGTTCGAAATAGTTCCACGAAGTTTGTAGTTCCCATTAAATAAATTTGATTTGTTGGATTGGCGTACACGTGATAATTTTTGCTGATAATTTTCAAAAGTATTTAAATTATTTCAAAATTCGCCTTTTCAACGCTTTAGGATCTGTCAAGCGCTCAACCCATTCTAGAAAAATTTGCAAAGTTCACTACGCAAGCCTTTCTTCTGGCGCTACACGATTTTACAACTGAATAGAATCAGAACCTGTAGATAAAAATTATTAAAAACGAGATTTTCGCCCGTTGTTGGCCAAGGACTTTCAAACAACATCGATATGCATGACAGCGATGTTACTATAACCATTGTCCAGTCCAAATAAGTCATCAGTCCAACCAGCGTGCTGCAAGACAAAGCATTAGCTGTAAGATTTGGCGAAGCAGTCATCAAATGGTGTGATAACCTACTACAACTCCTTATAACGGCGCATCGGTTTGCTTCCGCCATTAATATCAGTATCTGCTTTATATCTGGCATAAACGATACTCTCACAGAATCGTCGCAGTGTTGAATTTCGACCAACGAAAAACAGCGGTCGGTCAAAATAAACGTGATTCTCTCGCAAATCTTCTTCAATTCGATTTCTGAACAAAACACAATACTCAGCCGGTATACATTTTTGAACTAAACAAACTTATGAGTAATAGAAGAATAAAACTGAAAGAACTGAAACTTTTTAAAGCTCGGGCCGTCAGTGAAATGATTTTAACCTTTTTATTTCTGCCATATGTCGCTTTTGTTGCAGTTCTCGGACATCAATTTCTCCTCGCTTGATGTTCTTTTTAGGGGCTGTATCTGAGTGTCTTGACAGGTCGCCATTTTCAGCCATTTTTTCGAACAGGAATTGCTTAGCCCTTGTTAAGGAAGGCGTTCTTTTATGTGCTGATCGACTGCAAAGAATTTGAAGTCCAACACATTCCACTACTACAATTTTTCCGACCACATAATGAAACCCAGACTGGAACGCACCAGGCGGGCCGATGCGATTATGCGTTTTTGCACTTTTCATGCCGTAGCAAGATCGCAAGGAACCACAGTAACTAACCCTGTGACATACTGGCCCTCGAAGTTCGGAAAGTTGCAGCGCTCAAGTGTGTTTCATCCATTAGCTGTAAACACAGACCGGACTGTGCATGCGGGTAGGAGTGGGAATCGCCAGTACAGCCTCCTACTCGCCATTTATTGAAGGGACATGTAAATATTTTGCAAGACGGAGGCGTGAAAGAAAAAGTGAGAAAGAGAGAGTAAGAGTGAGTGGCAAATTGCAGCAACATGAAAGCAGTAAGAGTGTGGAGGAAACTAACACATGATATGGGCAGTAATTCGATGTAGTTAAGAAGAGGCAATTTTTATGAGAATAAAGTACTAACTAAGTCTTAGTTCCTGCATCATCGGAGTAGATGAATTTGCTCTGTACTGATCGGTTCGTGAAGTAAAATCTTAGAACAGAGCATTAAAACATAGCTCGGCGGTGCAATATTTTATTGGCCTAGATGTGAGCTGCGAGATCTGTAGTACCTGCTTTTCAACCTCGGGGACGTTCTAGGCAGTACATTCAAGAATACTGGCTCCTCTAAGCGTCAGGTTTTTTACTGAACACAGAGAAACCCATACAGCTACATCCCATCTCCTCCCTTTCTGCAAGCAAGGTTATCCCCTTTACTATAACCTCTGCGTTCCGGGGAGGAGGGGGCGAGGGGTCTTTCGCCCTTGGAGGCTCAGGTAGCAGCTGTTTTACTACAGAAAACTGGTTTTACCGGTTTTAGCAGCTGTTTTACCGATTTTTTGCATGAAGTCCGGTTGTTTTTCGGTAAATGCTCGCTTTGTGAAAAAATGACAGATGTAAATTTTTTGAACAAATGCAAATTTTCAGTTCATTAAAAAGTGGAAGTATTGCTCAAGTGGTCGTTTGTCAAAAAATCCATGTATGCAAATTAGCTACTGTTCATTAACATGTACGATTGAGGTTCGGATCTGTTGCTAACGATTTTTGGGTTGAGGAGTTGCGTGAGGCTGTGGTTGGGGTACCCGGCAGCTGAGTTTAAAATCTTTAGCTCGCACGTGCATAGAGAATATCCCTGCAAACCTTGCCTGGTTCGAGAAATCGTTTCCTACCAACATATTTTTTTTTTGGGGAGGGGGGGCTTACGCGGGTTCTGGGCACGTATGGGAAAAAATAAAGCGGGAGGATGGCACACGAGGTAGGAACGTATACCCGAATTTTCAGCTTCCCAGCTTTCCTGGTTGCTGAGATGAAAGTGGGTGACAAAATGCACTCGCTTCCTAACACATACAGTCAACCTCTCAACAATATGCGTTTTTGCTGGCTATAGCAGCGCTATAGCGCTGCACAGCAAAAGCGCGCAATGAAGAAAAACAGCGTTTTGATATCACACTTGATTTTGCAATACACTCTTCAGTGCGAAACTCATCTCTGTCGGACTGGCACTTCACTTTCGCTTTCGATGAGCTCTTGAATTCGCTTTATTTCTTCGACCTTCAAAGCATCTACTTCATTCTAAGCGCGCTGTTTACAATAAAAACTGTAGATCTTCTACGAAGCTCAGTAAATTTCTCTGTTTGCTACCCTGTTAGCTCTTTCTAGAGAATAACTGGCCAATGCACGGGCTGCCCGTGCGAAGACACGTTTTTTGCATAGTTCCCCGCAATTTTTGTCGCTACCGGCACCGGTTTTTCCGGCAAATGCTTCT